ATCGATGAACACGGACAAAACGACACGGACAGAGCGAGACGAACACGGACAGAGCGGAATCGACAGAGAAGGCGGTGGATAAATATGAGAAGATGCGTAGTAGGTCCGAGTGACGAGTGTGCCAGCCAGCAGTAGTAAGGGCATGTGCCGCCCATTTGCAAGCGAGGCGCTTAGTGGCAGCGCAGCGTGGGGAGAGCAAACGTGGACGACGCTTCGGCGACGAATACGGCGAATAGATCAATGTAGTACGGAGAAGGACGCTGCGCCTGGGCAGTGTGACAAGAAGCATGGGTGGACACAGGATAAATTGATTGGCCGTCGGTGTACGACATCAGCCCTTGCGGCAGGAGACTAGATGGATAGTTAGACGTGCAACTGAATAGATGCACAGCTGGACGTGAACGAATCTTTGGCGTCGTACTCAAGCATGTGGTCTAGATCTCATACCGATCGGTCAGACAGTAAATGAGGTGGATTTGCTGAGGGCTATCCGGGGAGACTGGCTCAGTGATGGGGGGGCTGCCTCCATCATCCAGTGCGCGGAATCAGGGTCCGGGCACACTATTTGGCATGGCAGGGGTAAGACCGGGCACACGATCTGGCGCGGCAGGGGTAGGACTGTGATAGCCACTGGAGGAGAGGGATCGACACGCGGAGTGGCGGTGACCTATGAATCCCCCTCGGCGGCGGCCATCCGCGGACAAGTCCACGGTCCGCGGCCATGAAAAAAAAAAAAAAAAGAAAAAAAAAAAAGAATTCAAAAAATTATGAGAAACAAATATGTTATGCAGAAAAATATACTGAACAACTTTTGCCTTGAGGTCATATCCAAAAACGTTACTGAATTTAAAATACAAAATCACATACGTTTCATGTTTTTAATACTCAAGCACGTGGTCACGTGGATGGCCGATCGACCAACAACGGACGGAGGCGATCTGCGGACATTGATTTGTGCGGACTGCCCGAGGGTCTCATACCGGTTGATGGCTATCTGGGGAGACTGCTCAGTGAGGGGGGCTGCCGCCATCATCCACTGCGCGGAATCACGGTTCGGGTACACGATCTGGCGTGGCAGGGGTAGGACTGCTACAGCCACCAGAGGAGACTGATCGACGAGCGGAGTGGCGGTGACACTCTGAAGAAGACTGACGCGAGACACGTCGCTGACGTTCGGGCAGAGAGGCAATCAGGTTTTACGTTCCTGCGCACCCCTTGGCCCTGTTCTTGTATGTGCATACCCCCTCTCATGTGATAAATGTCCCCCTCCTCGCCCCTGCCCTTCAATCCA